TGTCATGATGACAGTAAATAATATTTTGCAAGATATTTTTCAAGACACTTCTATACACCTTAATTAGGTTAACTAGGCAGGATAGGTTACTTATGCAAGTTATTGTGTAACCGTAGTTTGTTCTGGACTTATGAAAAAATGCATTGCTTAAAGGGGCTAGTAACATTGACCATAAAATGGTTATTAAAAAAAAAAATTAAAACTGCTTTTATTCTTGCCGAAATAAAACAAATAAGACTTTCTCCAGAATAAAAAATATTATCAGACATAGTGTGAAAATTTCCTGGCTCTGTTAAACATCTTTGGGGAAATATAAAAAAAAAATACAAATAAATACATAAATTCAAATAATAAATTTAAAGGGGGGCTAATAATTCTGACTCTATCTTCAGCTATTTCTTTATATTTTGAACAAGAGATACCCAGGAAATATTTCTCAGAAAGACATTTGAATTTTATTTACTTCACCTTAAATTGATCATGTACTGGATTTACTATGTGTATCAAGATTTTATTCTACCAAGGTCTGATAACGTTTATTCAGAATTAAAATTTAATATAACGTCATTTAGAGATTTATTCTCTTTAGATAAAAATAACAGTTTGTCAAAGTAAAAAATTCTTTCTTTTGTTGTGATTGAAAATCAGGCTTTTCTGCTTTTCAGGGTTGTAAGAAATGTCATCATTAGTTTTCAGAACAAACCAAAATGTTATTGTTTTCAAACACATAATTATAAATTGTTAAGCCAAAGAAACTGAAAATTCACAACTGCACTTTTAATTCACTCCCTGTTGTATGTCTTAACATTTTAATCAAGTTTGGTGTTCAGAATTTGTCATCATGTTACATGTTAAAAGCACTTTGGATTGTGAAATGAAACATTAGTGAGCTACCTTAATTCAGTTTAATTCAGTGTCCTGAGATCCGCCACTTTGAAATTAAACAGCAGTGTAATAAATTTGAGTTAGGAAACATGCTGTGTTACATTGTGCTAGCCAGACAGATGAATTCCCTCATTTTTATTCTTATTGAAGTTAAATAATAAGTTATAATAATGAGCTCATTTACCAAATGTCCTAGGAGAGGGCTAAATGTCTAGTCTCTGCTAAGTGATCTGACAAGAGACAGATTAGGAATGTGCACATGGTACATTACTTTGTTTCAGTACAACATGTTTTGTTGTTAGAAGACTTTCTTTTTTCATGAGCTTGTAACCGAGTATTTTTTGTTGTTATTATTATTATCGTCATTAATAATAACAATAACAACAACAACAACAACAACAACAATAATAATAATAATAATAATAATAATAATAATAATAATAATAATAATAATAATAATAATAATGACATTTTATTTCTTTATTATTATTTTATTACTATTATCATTATTTTTAAACTGGCCTGACCTGTCTGCGGGACTACAGGTAGACCAGTTAAGTACCTGTATCCTCTTTCTCCACAGATAGGACTTTGTAATGTGTGCAGAATGTGGTTTTGCAATGTCTTGTTGAAATATGCATGGGTGTGCCTGGAAAAGAAGGCAGCATATTGAGCACCAAAATCTCTATGTACTGTTCAGCATTAATAGTGCCGTCACAGACGTTACCTTTGCCAAGGGCACTGACACAACACCATACCATGACATATCCTGACTTTTGGACTTGTTGCTGGTAACAGTCTAGATCAGTAGTTCTCTTTTTTCATCAAGTACCACCTCAGAAAAGAATTGTCTTTCCAAGTACCACCATAATGAGCAATATTGAAATACAATAGCGTAGTAGGCCCGATGAAGCAGCTACAGCACTGCACAGTTCAAAAATCAGGCAGATTAATAATTATAAAAAATATGTATTATTGTCAACCATTTTAAACATTATAAGTAGTGAGAACATTAACACTGCACTGTGTCATATGTAAAAGCAAACAAACAAATAAAAATAAAACGTTTAAATTAAAATATTCTTTTGAAAGTTCAAAATGAAAGGTTACCTAAAAAGTAAAAAAAAAAAAAAAAACTTCTGTACTTAAATGTAAAGTATTAATGGAGCCTGGACCTTAGAAATATAGGCCATATGTCATCATATTTATATATAAATCATTTTTGATAAATTTTGAAACATATGTGGCATGTACATATCACATATTTGATTCCTCCGCGTACCACTAGAAGGAAGCCTGTGTACCACTAGTGGTACACGTACCACAGTTTGAGAACCACTGGTCTAGATGATCTTTTCTTCTTTGATCCGGAGTGCACAGCATCCATTTCTCAAAAAAATACATGCAATACTGAATCATGCATCCACAGTTTCCATTGGATGGTCCATACCAGATGCCTCCGAGCCCAGAGAAGTCGACAGTGCTTTGGACACTGTTAACATAGGGCTTCCTTTTGGCTCAGTACAATTTTCAATGGCATTTGTGGATGCAATTATGTATTACTTGACAAAGATTTGCCAAGGTAGTCCTTAGCCCATGTGATATCACTAATAGATGAATGATGTTTCTTGATGCAGTGCTACTTGAGAGATTGAGATCACTCTAGTGCAGCTTAGATTTGTGCCTTTGTCCTTCACGCACTGAAATTCCTCCAGATTCCTTGAATCTTTTAATGATGTTATGCACTGTTGAAGGTAAAATATCCAAATGTCTTCCTATCTTTCTTTGAGGAAAATTGTTTTTAAACAATTCAATATTTTTCTTACGTATTTGTTGACAAACTGGCGATCCTCTGCCCATCTTTGCTCCTAAAGGACTAGACCTTTTTTAGATGCTGCTTTTGTACCAAATCATAATTACAATCACGTTGACACTTGTTTCAAAGCACAAATTTACCTGATTACTAGCCCTAAATTGCTCCTGTCCCAACATTATTTTGGAATGCGTTGCAAGTTTAAATGACAGGAAAAAAAAACGTATTTTTTTATAAATGAAATGAAGTTGACCAAACAAAAGATTAAATATTTTGTGTTCATCTTGTCTGCAATGGAATACAAGTCAAAGTAAAATTGTAACTCATTACTTTCTTATTTTATTTGCATTTTCCATTTTTTTTCTAATTTTCCTGGGTGTAAACAGACAAAGAACTATAAGCTTTTTTACCATTCTAGTTTTCCGACTAGTTTCTCATATATATTTTTTAAAATAATAAACTCAGAATTCAGAATTTCCAATGTACTGTAGCATATATTTACTGTATAAACATTGTGAGCTTAGCTAGCTTGAATTAGCACAATGCTACAATGTTTATCACTATGCCAGCATAAGTTTGCTTGTTGCTTGCATGTTTTAGCATATGACAAGCATTAATTTATACAGTATGTTTAAAATTGCTAACAATATTTTAAAACATGTTTTACCATGAGGTAAATGTTTACATATCCTATGATACTAAGCGTAATTGGGAAGTAGTCATACAGTACCGTTGCTTTTTTTTCACCTGGTCATGCAGAAATATGTATTTGTAGACCAGTTAAACACAAGCTTGACTAGCTTTGCCTGGCTGGTTACTTTCAGGTCTAAGCTGCTTTGCTTGTCATGGCTAATTTGAGCTGTAAAGCGCTGTTTTTTTCTGCCATTTACCACATTTTGATTCACATGTAGTTGAACATTTGGGCAGAATGCATAAGAGTTGTACTTTTATACCCTAAGTACTTCTAAGTAGTTAGTACTCCTAAGTCCTAAGTCAAAGTACTTCTAAGTCCTAAGTACTTTCAGGTCTAACTAATATTAGCTGTCTATATAGCCTATTATACCCAAACAATGCAATATATGCTTTAAATGCAAATTTGGACATTTTTGGACAGGGTGATTGATAATGAATATTTCAGGAAAGCAGAACACAGCTTTCCTTTTTATATAACAGACAGAAAACTGGATCTCAAGCAAAACAATAATGTCAATTACTGGAAACAAACTGGGTAAATGTATATACTTGCAAAAA